AAGCAGGTTAGAGATGATGGAAGAAAACCAACTGTATATACATAAAAACTACTCCAATGACATTCAAAATCTTTATTTCCTCATGGGAGGGAGTTGATCATGATTTTCCCTTTGTACAGCTGATTATCTCTGATTTAGCTTAATCTCTCCCTTTGTACATTAACCAAAAAAAAAAAAAAAAAAAGAACAGAAGCTACTCTGTTCCATATTGTAAAAAAAAAAAAAAACTGTGAATAGTATTTTCTGGCTCCTTGGATCTTTAGTAGTTGAAGCTATGAAAAACATGCCTTGAGATGGCTGGATCAAGTTCTGTTTGCTGAGTTTATTTGCTGGATTATTGCTCGAAGTTGAGAATCAATTACTGAAATAAATTTATTCATTATTTGGGATTTTGTCTTCATATAAAACGAACCGTTTTAGATAATATTTTTTTTAAAAAATAGTTTTGTGCATAAAATATATATTAAACTAATATTTTTTGCTTTTTTAGAAAATTATTTTATTTATTTTTTATTATTTGAATAATCACATGATTTTGATTTTACAAAATCAAAATCAGAAAATATATTTATTTTAAATTTTTACTGGAAATTTTTGTGAAGTAAAATAAGGATAAGAATTAATTATAACAAATAGTTTATCCTTGCTTTTATTTTTGAGATCTAATTTCTAGATTTTTTATTAAAAAAATAACTATATATATTTAAAGTACCAAAAAACAAAAACAAAAACAAAACCCCGTTTCCTATTCGAAGAATCTCGTGGGTCCCACTGCCTTTTAGTTTCCTTTTCCGATTACATAACGAAGAGGAGTATATTAGATCTCGTGGGCCCCACACCCAAAATTATATATAGAGCTCCCGGAACCCCTCGTTCTAATTCACTCGCAGAGTCAGAGAGGCCAACGCAAAATCAGTCTTCCCTGTTCTTTAGGTTCTGAAGCCACTCTCTCTCATACTCACATACCTCCAATTGGTATTTCCTTTTCTTTTTCTTTCGTCCTTCTACTCATATTGTGAAATTTCAGAATCATGCTTATATGTATATATGTACACATATACGTGTGTGTATATATATATATGAAGAGATATTGTTTGACAAGAATGTTTCTTTCTGACTCTTTTGATTTGCGTTTAACGAAAGTCAAGTAATACAAGCCGATTTGACGAGTTTTTGTTTGATAATTCGTGTTTATTTATTTCTTTGAGTATAATTTGTCTTCTTGAAATAAGCAAATTGATTATTAATTTCAATTTTCTGGTTGTCTCCGTCACTGCTACTGTAGATTTTTTTAGGGTTTTTTTTTTTTTTTTAAATTTTGTTATGGAGCTTGAAGAAAACGGCGTTGTCTGAACAAGTTTCCTTTTTCGTCTTCTAACCAGGGATGAGTGCCTGTGACTGGAAAAGAAGGATTGAGCCTTGCAAGGGTTCTCGTCTTCCAATTAAGGGCAGAGAAACCATGAGCAAACCAAACACTCCTGCTAAAGATACTCGACCGGTTAAACTTAAGGCTGAACCCAGCAGCCAAATGTCTAAGAACTCAGTTTCTGTACGACACCATGCCCTTACGAATAGGACCTTGAAAGATAAATCAGTTATAGATAGTCCTGGAAAGGCCCAAGAAATCAGAAAGCCGGAGATTCCTAGTCAATGTGCTTATGATGCAGAAGCCAGTTCCTCCAAACCCAACTCGTATAATTCTCCAGCAGTCAAAACATCTCATAGTAACGACAGAACTAAGATTCCATCAGATTCTGGAAGGCAAAAAGCTCATGATTCTAAAGTCAGTACCTCCGAAACCAAATCTAGTTGTAGCAGGAGAGTGAAGATTCAAGCAGATTGTGGAGAAGTACTTAAGATTCAACCAAATTCCAGTGGGGAACAAGATTATGATTTGAAAACTGGTATTAGCAGAGCGAAGATTCAATCATATTCTAGAAGGCAAGAAGAGGCTCCTGATTCTGAAGCCTGTACCTGGAAAAGCAGATCATTCAGGATAGTTCATCCAGCAGCTAAGGTTAAGTCTCAAGGTGTGAGCAAAGTGGCTGAGCAGAAATCTAAAATCAGGACGGTAACCAACCAATCAGCGTCTGAACGGAAGCAGCTTAGTGATAATCTTGTAGGATCTCCAAAAGGTAAAACCAAGGAGAAGAGCAAACCTAATCATACACAAACAGGTACTCTACCGCTCTTCAATATTGAGTTTTCCATCATAAGAAGATCAATCGATTTTATTTTGAATTTCATTGTCATTTTTAGATTCTAACTTGTAGATTTCTGAAAATATATAATTTATAAATCCTTCTATTTGATTACCTAACAGATAATTGTTCATGTTTATCTCTAGATTTTCTAGTTTATTGTATTATGTTTAGCAGATTTTGTTTCAAATATGGATTAACATCGCTGTCGTTTTTACTAGTCGTAGAAAGCACATTGGATGAACCGCCACAGCATAAGCCTGCTGCTAAGGAGGCAGATGGTAAACCTAAATCATTGATCAAGAAGAAGAGTAGCCAGCCAACGGGAGCAACGAGAGAGCTCGCGGAGCAGACAAACAGAAAGGCCAAGGCTGATGAAAGATACTCTCCGGTCCACCATGTTGAATACCATGGTAGGTTTCTCGTTTCATTATTAATTAAGATGATAAACTTCAATTATTCGATAAATTATTAGAATTAGAAAGTCCTATAGCATGGATAAATTAATGTAATTAATAATGTGATATAAACTTTGAATTGTGCAGGTCCTAACAAGATATGCGAGAACTGTTTCTTGTGCGAAAAAGACATTTCCTGTCGCGACAGCGTGCAAGACCAGATTTTGGTTTACAGGGACGGTTCTGATCGGTTACCGGATTTTGTTAAACCCGCAGAAGTTTCCATTCTTCCATGCGGGCATGTCTTTCATAGCCAGTGCTTAATGTTGTTTACAGGCATATCGGTAGAGAAGTCTCTTGATCCACTCTGCATCATTTGTGAGAGTTTGTCTTGCACCTAGCCATTCTTATTTTACACAAGCTGTTCTTCATTTTCAGAAGAGGAAAACGTTTAGTCTGACAGAATCTTAGCATGGCAAAGTGATTTGTCCACTTCAATTTTTTTACTAAAGAATTTGAAGTAAAAATAGATCAATACCGATGGGGGTATTTGAACTAGTTAATAATTTTTGAAATCAGTATGTAATAATACAACTCGTCAAGTGATGAAAAATAGGTAGACCATTCTTGTTTCAAGAGGAAAAATCATGTACTTATATATATATATACACACACTATAGTTTGTTCTGCAGTTGAAAATTATAATTATTACACTTGTTGCCTATAGTTTACAAAATTCTCAAAGCATAACGTATGCATATACAGACTCATAGGTATATATATAATTGTTGGCAAGCAAGATTTATGCGTACACTACAATGGTGCATATACACGGCAAGAAGAATAGATGATGGATGCAGCAAAGTTCTTCCTAATTATTTCAAACTGACTTTTTAGTGCTCTATTTTTCAACAAGTCAGAAAAATAATTGCAGCTTAAGTAAAACAAATGATTATTGAACTATATTTCAATAATCATACCTTATAATTAATTATTCATTAACTTACAAAAAATATAAAACTACAAGTAGCAATGAAATTTTAATTAATCCTACGATTTATTCAGAATGCAATTATAAAACAACTGAAACCTATCACTTACATTATAGAAACTCTAGGTTTTTTTTTTTTTCCTAGTGACATGAAATACTAAAAGAAACAAATGGCCCTACACTATAATACCCGATGGACATTTTTACATTGGGTTATTGTCAAGGATTCATCATCAAAACAAATTTCCAAATCCCTGTACACCCGGAAGTTCAAACAGAGCATGCATCTATTAAGAGGAGAGAACAGATATTAACAATCATAAGTCTCTGATGCACATGAAAGAGGAATACATACCTCTTCGATTCTCACCAGATACCTAGACAAACAATAAAGTTAAACTATCTAGGTTGTGTATCGCCGTCTTCTTCTGAAATGTTAAACAGGAATTTCGGAAGGGACGCAATCCGAGGGAGATGAAGCAGCAATTCCCCGAACGAATCTTTCCTCGACATTTCTGGTGGCTGCTTGCTACTGGAGACATCCCTTGTATCCCCTCCAGTGTCCTGGTTATTATCAATTCTAGTATTGTTATCTGGTATTAACTCGGTAGGGCTGTTTAGATGATCATCCTTTCTGTCAGTAGTGCCTCCATTAACCTGTGAGTTTGTGGCTGTTGCTGGGTCCTTCTGCAGAAGGCAACAAAGGGAATTCACCCTTGACATAAGGCATTTCTCATCAGAAGTTGTCAATTGTGTGTCACTAAGCAGGTACTGTGCAATATCCTCCAGTATTCCCTGACATTCTGATCCAGTCCCCGGAAGCCCTGGAATACAATGCTCAATGTGGCTCATAAGGTCGCTCATTGACATAGATGTGTGAAGCCCAGGAACTTTTATTTGATCCCAGTTTCTCTGCCCCCTTGAGTCAACTGTTTCGCAAACCCCACGTCCTTCAATTGCACAAGTATCCATCACTGCGTATTAGGCGAAGCATAGAAATAAGCAACAAAGACACTACATTTTCTATGACAAATAACTCAA